TTTAGTTTAGTTATTATATATATATATATATATATATATATATATATATATATATATATATATATATATATATATAGTATATGAAAACTACGGCCACAGTGTGTGTGTAAATAGACAACACACCCAGCGCAGATTTGGCGAGCGGAGAGTGCTGACAAGTGTGTCGGAGTGGAGCTGATGCGCTGTTCATGACTTGTGTGTCTGTTGTGTTGCAGCGGGTGCCATGGCTCTGAAGGTGCATGAGGATTGGGGTGCTACGCCTACAACCATTGACAAGGCCCTTGAGTTGGCTGACGAGTTCGATGTACAGGTGATGCTGCACACAGACACTCTCAACGAAGCAGGGTATGTGTTTTATGGTTTTAGGGTTTCAGAGTTTTAGGTAAGTGTGCGCATGTCACTCACTCCTTGTGTTGTATTTGGCTGTGGCAGTCACTTGGGGCGGTACCTCTACTTCTTTGCGTGCGTGTGCGTATGTCTTTGTAAATGCAAACGTTTGTGCATGTCTACGTTTTCGCGTGCATGGGGCCGAGAATGGACCCTGGGATATAAATAGATACCTAATGAACCCTTAGGATATAAAAAGATACCGAATGAACCCTTAGGATATAAAAAGATAAAGAATGAACCCTTGGGATATCTACATAATCATATGTTGACCCGTATATTGATTCGCCTGTCCCTGGCTGGTGCACTCACAGCACTGTAGAAGATACCATTGCGTCCTTCAAGAAGAGAGCCATCCACACATACCATTCCGAAGGCGCAGGAGGAGGCCACGCCCCCGACATCATTCGAGTAAGTCTTATGACGTCATAAGTGGATGTCTTATGACGTCACAAGTTTAAGTCTTATGACGTCCTCCGGATATGTCTTACGATATTATTCATGCAAGTTTTTTTTTGACGTCATCCGCGTCACAGACCTACACCCACCCCTTGCTGTGTGGTGTGAAGGTCTGTTGTCACATGCAGTGTCTCGCACGCACACCGTCTAACTCACTCACACGCGCCCTCTCACACACATACACTCTCTCTCACGCGCTCTCTCTCACGCTCTCTCAAACTCTCTCGGACGTTCCTTCATTGCAGGTGTGTGGAGAGTGTAATGTACTGCCGTCGTCAACCAATCCCACGCGCCCATACACAGTCAACACAATCGATGAACACGTCGACATGTTGATGGTATGCTTATTAGTCAATGGTTTATGATTTATGTATATGTATATATATACATATGTATATATCTATATCTATA